GCAGGTCTCTAGTTGACTTGTCTGACCACACTAACTCAGGAGAGGACAGTTTTTCAGAAAGCATTAAGCTTGGCAAGCACATATTGCTCCTTTGTCCACTGGAGGAGATGGAGAGCAGGACAAGCTATTGCATCTAACCACTGCTCTGATGTCTACAGCAATAGATTCATGTGGCCAGAAAGGAATTGAATATATTAGACCTCTTCTGGTGTTTCCCCTGCCTGAATTGTTACTGTAAGCAAGTTCAGGATAAATTTTCATTGAGATCTCTTTTCATAGAGACCTTTGCAGGTTCCTTGAGGTCTTTTTTGTTTAATACATTTTGTCATCATTTTTAGGGACTGGATTTAAAGATCATTCATTCCACAAACACTTCCATGCTCTGAATTTGTGTTTGAGATGGTTTTAACCAATTTGGTCTTGAATAAATACTTCTTTTCTTTTTCATCTTCATTTATTGATGGGATCATAGTGTTCCAGTTCTTTTGTCCACTGTTGCCACCAGCCAGGTCTCCTATCTGCTCTCATCTGCAGCTGCACATTTGCCTTTGAGGGGCATTTTCCATGCTCTTGTCCAGTTCTTTGATATGCTCCTGTGACCTATAGTTTTGTGATGCAGAAAATGTGCCACATTAGGGAAAGTTCAACACATGAGATTGTAACACATGTGAGAGGAGAAAATTAAATAACCAGGTTCCGTTGTGAACAGAATGTCCTTAAAATGCTGCACAGTAAATCACATCCTTAACATGCACTTTGCTCAAAACTTCTCTGGGTTTGACTGGATTCTGTTTATGCTTGGTAGCTATTCTTTAGAGTTTTTCGACTATTTGCCTTAAAGGGATGTGTAATGTATTCAAAAATTGCTTTAGTAAATGGTTTAATCTTTGTTAGCTGGATTATTAAGTTGAAAAAAATGTAATAAACTTGATTAGTTTGGGAAGTCAGTGGAAGCTTGGCCATTTGAATCTCTAATCCTATTAATTAGATTGCGATTGGATTAATTTTTTTCAGTGCAGTAGTGTTTAAAAAGAACTGCTGGTCCTCTTCAAAGAGAACTGCATAAGTAGTTATCTCCCAAGTGCATTTGAGGGTTTATCAGCTTGTTTCTAGAAATATGTGGCTGGTCTAAGAGCATTAAACCAATACTTACCTTCCAAAAAATACAAGGTTCTTTTTGTTGTTGGGGTTCTTTTCCTTTCTATTATTAGGGATTCACTTAGAATCCCTAATAAAATGTCTTTCTGTCAGTGGAATGTTTTGGTTACGGAAAACCTCTCATTGCAGTTGATTTTTCTCTTGTTAATTGAGTAACTGTTTTAGGACAGAAAATTGATGCTGCTGCAAATAACTGCAGAGTTATCAGCCTGTTCAGAGTGTGTCTACACGTGGGTATAAGAACAAAGATTCTAATTAAAACAGAAAATTAGAACGAACAGAGAAGCCTAAAGACAGTCTGTAGGTTGGAAATGAAATGAAATATGGTTTCCTGTGAGAAAAGACAGCTGAGAGGGAACCTCATCAATGACCATAGCTATCTGAAGGGAGGTGTCTGCAGCAGTCTTGACAACCAACTCATCCTTGCTCCTGAGTGCATGCTGGAAATCCTGCACTGTTCTGTATTTTCACAGGGGATGGTGAGCTCTATACTTTTGGAGAACCTGCAAATGGGAAACTGGGATTATTGCCTGAACAGCTGAAGAACAATAGAGTCCCACAGCCTGTACTGGGAATTATGGAAAAGGTTACTAAAGTAGCTTGTGGTGGAGAACACACAGTGGTGCTGACAGGTATGTAACTTAACTGGCTTTTTTAACAGCTCTAGAACTTAGTCTTAAGCTCAATTCACTCTGAAGAATTTGCATCCCACTGAAATGTAAGATGCTGTAGTGATCCTAACTTTAAGACCATTGTATGTCAAGGAGGTAGAAATCCACATAACAGCTAAGCCAGTGACAGGCCTGTGCTGGGCTGTGTTTGGACACTAACCATTTTAAAAGTGGGTGTGATACAAGAATTATAGGCTTTGCAACAGAAAGTTAACTTGACAACACTCCTGACTTGCATCTTGAGAAAAAATGTTATGACCACAAATTGAAAATTCTGATGAGGTATCTTTAAAGAGGAGCAGAAACATTTATGCCTCTTCTAATATCATTTTCATAAATTAAGAAAGTAGCACCATTTTGAAGAAATTCTGAATTTCATGTACCATTTCCCATGACAGCGAGTGCTGCTTGGCCTTGGTAACACACTTTATACTGATGTGATTTTCATCCTTTCAAGGTCTTACCAGTTTTTCATGATGTGACATTTCAGTCTTTAAAAATAAGAAGTGTCTGACTACTGAATATTCCCCTGCATTAACCCTGTAGGTTATCTCATTTAACGTACAATAGGATAGGGGAAAATGTTATATGGGGAAATTGGTGCATGTCTTGGGTCATTTCTTGCCATCAGTTCTACTGGGGGTTTATCAAATTAGAAGAAAGCATAATCCAGTTATCTTACTGAGTACAAGACAAGTTTCTTCTTGACTTTGATGTGCAATTAATCTATTCCAAAGCACTTCATTTGATTTCCTGACTCTGATGTGCAATTAGTCTATTCCAAAGCACTTCATTTGATTTCTTTTTTATGACTGTTATCTATTCTATTGGCAATTTTCTATGGTAAGAACCACCATTATCTGGTTTATTAAATCAAGCTACTCTTTGGACTGTCTCCAACAAGTATTAATGATAGAAAGTTTATGTTAAAATAATTCCTTTTTTTTTCTCTGAAACTCCAAAATAGGAAACTCAAGCATTTTTCCCAGAGAACAATTAAATTGTTGAGAGCAATAATTTGGAAAAAAACCTTTTTAAAGATAGGCTTTAGAAATGTTGAATAGGGTATTGAAAACCCTCTTCTTTACAAGCCTTCTTGTTACTTCTTGCCTGGAATATTTGCAGTTGTTCTAGAAAATCACAGTTAAAAATTCCATCATGCAAAAGCTTTCTCTCCCCATAGTAGCACCAACCTGTTCATTTCATGGCAGTCAATCAGCCAGTCCAAGCAGATCATATCCTCATCCCTGATGAGTTCCCTTAGAGACTAAAAAAAATACGTCCACTCCCCCCAATGCTTGCAGGCACTTCCTACTGAAAACAAACACTGTTGGTGTTGTCTCTTTGAAAGGAAATATGAGAGTGGCAATTTCTGTACTATTTCAATAAACCTTTTTCAAAGGTAGGATAATAATAACTTGTGAATCTAGAAACTGAAGAAGAAGAAACAGATGATTTGGAGTAGCTTTAATATCTTCCAGGGTTTTTTTCAGGTGACGACAGATCCTCTGGGAGTAATCCTGTCTATAGAAGGATATATTCCCTCCTTTCATTCTCTGAAAGGAGTGAAAGCAAAGATAGCTGTTCAAAGGAAGAAGTGAAGCAGTCCTTAGAGAATAGAATGTTTGACATAACAATACAGCACATTAGTGCATTAGTATGTAAAATGTTGGATTTTTCATCTTCTGTCTCAAGGTCTTTTCAAAAGTAAAGAAAGCCAAGACACCCTTTTGAAACAGGGTGAAAAGGATGAGAAAGCTCTACCTTTTCCTGACAGAACTCACTGTTCAAACCACACAGGATTATCTAGATTTTTCAAACCGTTCTTAAGTCTGTGTACTATTTATACTGAAATCCCCCAATCCAATTACTAGCTCTGGTAATTCTGAGTATTGTCTTGACAGCTGATTTTTTGCAGTAATGTTTTTCAGCATAAGCTGTTTAAAAAAAAATAAAGCTATTGTAATACTGAATAGCCCATTGGCATAATAGTTGTAGTAGTAGTAATAATAATGATATTAATAATAATAATGTTCAAGGGAAATGAATCTATGTGGAGAGGCCACCAAGATGATTAGAGGGATGGAGCACCTCTCCTGTGAGGAAAGACTGAGAGAATTGGGGTCATTCAACCTGGAAAAGAGAAAGTTTCAGAGAGACCTAATTGTGACCTTCAGTACCTGAAGGGAACCTACAGGAAAGAGGGAGAGAGAGCTTCTTACAAGAGCATGTAGTGACAGGACAAGAGGGAATGACTTCAAACTAAAAGAGAGTAGGTTTAGATTAGATATTAGGATGGTGCCAGGTTTTTTTCTTCCTGTGCCCTGATAATTGACTAAGAAGCAAATTTAGGAGGAGGAACACTTAGGTGCCCCAGGTCTATAGGGGCAGTAAACCAAATCATTCTCCTTATAAAGGCACTCTAACCTGGCTTGGTCCTTTCTCCTCATTGTCAGTAGAAACAGAGGAAGGAAAACCATTTCCTCTACATTTGAGAACATTTCCCTCTCAATAGAAATGCAGATGATGTTGCATGTTTCAAGCTAGGATTAAATATAATGTGCAAAAGATCCAACCTCACTCAAAGTAATTATGTAAATCATATAAAGCCATATGAGTTGAAAATTACAAGTTCTACCAGTTTCCAAAGAAATGTTAGGACAAATGGAGTATTCTAGATAGAGTTTATGGAATCAATCATCCTGAGAAAGTAATTTGCTAAGATGAAGATGAGACTTTGGGTTACTTAGAGAAAGTTCCAGTCTTTCATGTGTAGTTTTTTTGATTCTTACACAGAAAGCCTAAATGTTACAGGAATTTTCTTGTTTTAATTTTTAAAGCTCCCAAGGTGTTGCACTGAAATTTCCAGCAGAGGGAGCTTTACTATTACGTTTAGTAAAAAAAACCAAACAGGTTTACTCTGTATTTTTCATCTACAGTCTGAAAAACTGTGAGGCTGTTGGGCTTTTTTTATGGGGTGAATTCATGACATCTTAATATGGAACAATTTAAAAGGGACAGAAAAGGCAAAGCCTTTCCTAGAAAGAACATTTCCATGTGTAGTGTTACACTGTGTCATCATGGTTCCTTTGAAATTGGAAAGTTCAATACGAGTGAGTGAGTGTACTGTGGTAGTGATTTGGAGTCCAGTCTGTTCTCTGCTTTCTCTTTCCC